CACTCGCACTCTCTGTTCCTATTTTCCCCTTCTTTTTTTCCTTGTTCTGTCATTTTCCTTTCCTTTTACATTCCCTTCTCCTTTACATCTCCGCCCTTGTTGATTTTCCTGAAGTTTCCCTCTCATTTTCTCATTTCGTTTGTCATTCTTTCACTCTCGTTTCCTTTACTGTCAACTCCCTGCTTATTTCGTGTTCTGTCTTCTTCCTTCTCCAGCCCCAGTTTTGTCCTGTACTCCTTTTTTCCACCTTGTATGATCCTTTACTTTCATTTTCCCCCTTTTATTTGTGTTTCTCTCTTGTCCTGTCCTGACTGGTACTTTCATTTCCTGTCCTATCATGACATTCCTTGACGTAGCTGTCTTGTCCTTTCCTTTTTTTCTTTTCATTCTTTCCCCACTTTCCTTTCTTGTCCTGTTAAGTACTGTACTTTCCTTTTCTTTTATGTTCCTTTCTCTTCACATCTTTGCAATTTCCATTCCTCCATCCTTTTTGTCATTACTCCACTCTCATTTCCTTTCCTGCCATCTTCCCTGTCATTCCCTGTCCTGTCCTTTCCTTTCTCCTGCCCCCACCCACCCCCTCCCATTTCTTCCCATCCTACTCCTCTTCTCCCTCTCTGCTGTACTTAACTTGAACAGGCCATGGTGAGTAGATCTATTACAGCTTATCTCTAAAGGACAGGCCAACGCGGCACACCAGTGAAATATGGCCGCTGTCAGAGCCGACGCCGAGCACGACCCGACTCACGCTGGCGTAAGGACGTAAAGAGGCAGCGGAGGGTGGGTGGGTAGGGTTGCACTAGGCGTACAGGGGGCGATTTCTGGGGAGGCTAGTCCTTATAAGCCCTCTAATTCAAATTAATGGGAAGATTTCCAGGCGCGATCCCGCACACTTTAGTGACACAATTAACTTTCTCTCTCTCTCTCCTCGTCGACACTGGCAGCCATGTTTCTGCCTTCCGAGCAGCCACCATCCACGTCTCCACATGTAGATATTGATGAGCAGCTATATTAAATTGAGTTAGCCTGCATGTAAAGCCACTTTCACGCAGAGTGCCCCGTCAGACCCGTAACAGGCAATTAATTTATTATTCTGGTAAGTAGCAAAATGAGAGAGGCTGATTGTCTGCCCCGTTCGTGTCCGAACGCAAGAAATACATATTGCTCGCCTTTGCAATGTGGCCCGACAAATGATCGCCAACTTCTTTCACGCAGAGATCTGCAAAATTGTCTGAAGGCCAGTTGACTTTGTTCCCCCATTCTGTGTCGGCGACATCACTGGTACATGTGTAATAATATAAAAATGACCTGCTTTTGGTCTCTTTTTTTTGATATTCAAAATGTTCAGATCACCCTGCTGGGTAAGAATGCAACGAGTTTGATGCAGGCGTTCTCTTCTGTGCTGTTTCCGTCAGGTACAGCTTGTTGGACAAACTGCAGCATCTGTCCAAATCATGACAGATTCGTGTCCCTGAGAAAATCCATCCTGCAGCCGCTCAGCTTGATGTAGTCGCTGCATATAGCGGACATTTCACCTTGTGTTCCAGTTCACGGCACCCAGGCAGCTCATAGCAGGGGACCCTTAGGGGGGTCTCGCTTGGAGAGAGAGAGGTGACTTCAACGGTTTATCGTCTGAAGCATATGTATGCGCTGAAAAAAGCCCAACTAGCCTAAAGGAAGTGATAAAAAATTGTGAATAAATGTGAGCAGATGAGCCCCTCGAGTTATTGCAATATGTCGAAAAGGCAACCATTCCTGTTTGTATTTTTATTGTTCATATCTGCCGAAATGAAGAGCAGCAAATGACTCCGGCTCCTTCTCAATTTAAATATCTAATGTTTTGTTTTTCCTTACAGCCGGACTAAAGCATATATTCTGCAAACATGCAATTATGTTTAATCAAAAACAAAGGCGTCCGTCTCTTGTCCTGTCCGCATTTTGTCGCCAAGGAAATGCTGAATCAAAACCTCAATGTGTTCGTGACAAAATATGGAGCGCTTGCGTCCTTTCTTATTCTCCGTATTTTGCCGCAAAGGAAATTGAAGTGGAGTTCAGTGACTTGACATCAATAAAAAAAAAAAAATCAGTACCTGACAGCAACTGGATGTTTCAAATTGCAGAGTCATGATTCTTTGCGACTCATGCAATGACATCCGTGGTCATATATTAACACATTTATAGTAGGTGATGTACAAGCTCCTTTGTGATCAGATGTTGAATTCTGCAGAGTGATGAACCCGCATACGATCCCAAAGGTCTTGACTGTCGTGTTAACGCGTAGTTTATATCCATGCATTGAAGCTGGAGATTCCGATGTGCGTGTCGACACTGATGGATGAATGGCGCGAATACGGAGCGTTAAAGTGGGTGGCTGGTGCAGGTGTTTGAAGACATACAGATGTATTCTTGTGTCAGCACATTGCCGCTTTGCCGCCTTTCTGCCTCAGCACATGTGACAAGAGCATGACAGAGACGCGCGCGTGACAGTCCGTCCAAACCAAGAATTTGCTGATGACTGACGTTGAGATTAATCATGCCACGCCCCAGTCCCACGTATTGCAAACCAAAATGGGTCTACTCAAAATGCAGTCGGCACACCTAGGCATGGTGCGATAACAGTGAGCAAAAATATTGCAAAGTCACGTTACCACGCTATTGCAATTATGCCCCTTCATTAGTTTGAAATGTTTGGGAATGTAAGGTTTTTCTTTTACCAGGATGAACATGGTTGCAAAAGTTGCTGAGTTCTGGCCCACCCTTCTACTAAAAAAAGGTGCACAGTTTTTCTTCCTCAGGGGGAATCAAAACGTATGCATTTGCTGACAGCTAATTTAGCGGCTTTCATGCGCGTCATTGTGATTGCCACCAATTTAAAATACACTGCTGTATTAAAGATTCGGCCCGGCTTCTAATACATGCACGACGCCGAGCTTTCACGCGTTAGCACTGACATGTCACCCATATTGACGCGCAAAAAAAAAAAAAAATGAATACGAAAGGCAGCAAATGAGCATGAATGTTGGAAGGTTAAAAGTGAACATTTGCATGTGTGACGCACAAAATAGATGGCGCTGCAAGACATTTTAACATTTTAAATGTGAATAAATGATTAAGTGCCACATCAAAGGCAAAAAAAGAGATAGTGGTCATTTTGAATGGTCATATTTAAATGGTTAGAGATTTGACAACTGGTTTTTCCGATGTGTACCTTAATCGGTCCGAACTGGCTTGTATATTAAGTCTTCTGTGTATCTAAATCTTGTAGCTTCTTCCCCACATTTTTAAAACCAGGAGAAATGTTTTGTCAGTGAAATTGACTGATCCTTGATCCGAGGTCTAGTAAGTGACCTGATCACTAAGTTGGCAGTCAATGTGGGTGAGCTTTGAACTACAGAACCTGCTCAGAATCCGTTTAAAAATAACCCTGACCAATGAAGTAATTGCTAAAATCGATTAATTGCTTAATCCTACCCTGGAAATTTTCCGTTGCTTGACGATTAGTTATGTACCTTATGCAACAATTCCAAATACGCCTCCTGTCTCTGGATTCGCTTCATACTTTCCCCTATACGCCAAAGTACGCCTTTTGTGTCGTGATCCACTACTAGTGCAGCACCAGCTTGTCGTGAGTCACCACGACCACGGCGTGTAAAGGGCTTAGCGTGAGGTAGGAGGGGATGAGAAGCACCCCTGATGTTTAAGCCGCCTCTGCACCCAGGCACATGTATGCGTGCACCCCTAATCACTCTTGCTTTGTGTGTACGTGTGTGTGTGCACGCGCACGATGTCACGACTACTACAATGCCTCCCCCGGTACGCCCACTGAAAATGAAGCTAATCTGTTGCGAGGGAAATGGGGCAGGGAAGGCAGCAGCTCAGATCCACCGCTGGCTTCCTGTTAGCATCTGAAGCTGAGGCTTTTTTTTTTTTGTGTGTTAGGTGGATGATAGAAGGCTGAAAAAGTTCACGTTTTGTAAAAATCTCAAGAATTCTATGGACTTCAAACCGAAATGGGAGACTGTGTTACTTTGTACTTGTTTTGCAGTTTGGGTCTTGGAGACTTTTTTTTTTTTTTTTTTTTTTTATGATAGTCATGCCAACAAAACTGAAAATGTTTTTGCTAAGTTTTCAAATTGAGTCGCATGTTTTTTGGTGAGTCTAGCATGTCAACATACTCCACCCATATGTCAAAATGAATGGCAATTTGGGATAGACCATTGGTCTAGTATTTGTGCTTCAAATTTGGCAGCAGTCAGGCAAAATCTCCACAAAAGAATTTCCCTTGAGTGATGCCTAGAAATAAGCAAAATGTCCCGAAAACGGCCACATTATTTCATTTCCTATTTGTCTGTTTACGCATCGTCAGGTCTGTTTTTATCCACATTTGGACGATCTCATCTTAACTCTTCTCTTCCATCCATGGAACAGAATGACAAAAAGAATGTGCTTGGTGCTTATCGGGGAAATCTAGAAAATATGATCTACAAGTCAGCGCTCACAGTATTCCAGTATTCCAATGTTAGAGGTTTGCATTGAAGGGGTAGATCCTATCTGTCTGTTTACGCATCACCAGATCTGTTTTTCGCCTCATGGTTAGCATGCCTGCCTCACAGTACAAGGTTCTGTATCTTTGAGGACGTTGATTTCAATCTCAGGATATATTGCTTTTTTGTTTGTTTATTATTGTGTTCATATCTGAATTTTACCACTTATAAGAACAAATTCAGCATTGAATTGTGTGACTAGCAGCATGTAGTGTAAATCCAGCTAGAGAATTGCTTGTTCCTTCATTGCAAGTGATGATTGACTTCATACTTGTTCTAAAGTCAAAGAATTGAAATTGTGTCCCCTAATGAATTTCAATTCATTCAGTTCTCAGACTGGAATGGCTGAACTGAAGCGGAATGCACCCCCATCTTTATTAGCCCGCCAACCCCCTCTTGGTTTTTGTTGTCACTGAAGTTTTTTTCTTCCCCTCCCACCCCCCCCACCTCTCGTAGACAATCGTGCGGGGGAACCGGCCCCCCAAAGACGCATCCATCAACGGCCTGCTGGAGGAGTTTGACAACATCTCTGTGACGCGTTCCAATTCATTGCGTAAGGAGAGTCCACCGGGCGCTCACCAGGCGGGCGCGGGCTCCAGGACCTCAGCGGGCGCCCATGCCGGCGGCCCAGAGGAAAACGGCTTCGGCCACTATTACTCGCGCTACTCTTGCGATCTGGACACTTCCGGGAGCCGGGACTACTCTCTGGACAAGCCAGGCTTCTCTGCTGATGGCGAATGGGCCGTGGGCCGGCATTACCGCTTCACCAAGCACAACGGCCACTCGCACCACATCCGCAGCCCCTTCTACCCAGACGCCATGCCCCAAAAGTCAGACTATGGCAAGCTCCCGCCAGACTACCACACCTACCTGGAGAGCAAGGGGCGCTCCATCGACGAGGTGGCGTCCACGGTGGGGAGCGGGGTGGGTTCCAGTGGCTACTACCGGGCGTCGGTGGGCGGCTCGTCCAGCCAGGACTACCGGGACACGTCGGTGGGAACCCCGTCCCGTGCCTCCCTTCACAGCGAGCAGATCAACTACCCGGACAGCGAGTGGAGCTACGGTGGCATGCGGGACGACTACGACAAGAGGCCCAAGAGCTCGTACGTGATGCAGACCAGCCCCATGCCGGCCATCAGGCAGAGGTCTCGCTCGGGGTCCGGGCTCCAGGAACCCAATGTCCCCTATGTGGCGGGTGGTCCCTTCAAGAACCCTGCCCAAGCCCACCCATACAGCTCATACACTTACCCACGCCTGTCAGAGAGCCTCGCCGCCTCACAGACCATCAACAAGGTAAACACTGTGTGTTTATTCATGTGCTTGCACAGTGCGGAATATTTAGACTGTCCGCACAGTGGATAGTGGTTCCCACGTAAAACTGAATTATGACTTGCATCCACTTCAGGGTGTAATCCACATCTGACCCAAGTCAGCTGCAATTTTCTCCAGCTCACCCACTGGCCAAAATTGATATTATATACTGTATAGCTAAAAATACAAAAAAACATTTCCCATGATACTGCAGCTCTTAAACTACAAGTATATGTGTACCTATTGAAGTGTCCAGTGAGCTCCTTAGTCGGTTTCTCAGTACACTCACGCTTTCTTTCGAGACCTATTTGTCTGGCTTTCCTGCCGACATTAACAGACACCTTTTCAGTCCTTCTCTGCAGTCGGATCAATTAGCGCTTAAATCATCGAGTGCAGGGCCGTGACTTACTGAACACGAGGAGAGCGGACAGAAAGAGAAGTCGAAGGGGAACAAAAGAATGGGACAGGGGAAGTATATGACAAAAAGAATAAAGAGATGTCCCAGAGCAAGACTACATTTAAGTAATAATATGTTCCATTTTAATGGGGTTGTTATGTAAGAGCACAATGAGGAAGACGCTCCGAAAAGGAAGGAAAAGCATTTTGTGTAGAAACTTGGTAATAGAAAAGCACCCTACTGTACAATTCCCAAACGCTTGTTTAAATTTCTTCTGTATGGCCATACACGAAAAACATATATATCTAAGATCATGGATGAAATTTAAAAAAAAAAGGAATTTAAGAAAATATCTTACTTTGTTTTATTTTGTAGTTAATTTCATAGTTTTAACTCGGTATAGTTTTTGAAGAGGCTCTCGTTGTTTTGTTTTCTCAGTTTGAGTTGTTTCGTTAGTTTTCATTGAACAAATCTAACCTAGTGGTGGAATCGACGACTCCTGCCGGATTCTAAAGTCTCACCTGACGCTGTGTTACCCATGCCCACTTACCCATGCCCACAATAAATTTGGACACCAGAAAAGGTGGAAGATTTATCTACACACCGAATACAAGTTTTCTTAAATCAATATGAATACCCAGACAAAAAGTTATCCGTTGTCATTTACTTTGTTGACTCGATTACGGTTGTTGAATCCATTGTCGCATTCCATTGTGTCCGTATACTATCTAGAAGATGCTGTGACTTGACTTATCTGCCATCCCACTTCAGATGCGGATTTCCTGTTACAAACTGAACCGCAGCATAGAGCTTGGACTGTCACTTTTGGAGCGCTTGCCGTGCGGGCAGAAAGTAGCGATGCAGTCAACCTGCAATAGGAGGAGGAGGGGGGTTCGGTCCTTATGCTCACTCTCCGGGCTCCATTAAGGCAGCCGCGCAGCGTGATGGCATCTGCGGCACTACTACCGTGCCTCCTCCTCCCTCCACACAGCGACGAGTCCAGTAGGTTTGCTGATGTGGATCCCAGGGCGCCTTGATGAAAAAGCGTTTAACCTCCACGCTTCACCAAATAGAAAAAGAAATGCAGAATGCAAGCAATGCAGGATTGGACTGCAGTAGTAATGGAGGAGGTCATTTTTTTTCTCATTCGTTTGCTAAAGCCGGGTTGGGAAAACTGGGGTTCAGGGTGTACGCCGCCTACTGCCTGACTCCAGCACCCCCGCGACCCTCGTGAGGATGAGCACTTTGCATAAGGGATGGATATACTGTAAATGAAAAATGTAAGAAAATCTAATATTATTTCATTTTACCAAAAATTTTAAAACGTGAGAAAATAATAAAAATAAAGGAAAATATACATTATAACGACGCAGTTTTGGGAGAACCCCCCAAAAAAGAATGCAGCAAATATTACCAGAGTCTTCAACATGCGCAATAAATGCCTGGCGGGCATTTCCATACGTCCTGACTGTCCCTTGCTCATCCCTGCACTAAACGCTAAGCTCAGAAATCAGGGCCATTCTTCTTGCAACAAACCCCCTCTGCCTTTTTTTCTTCTTCGATGTAACCAACACAGTCCCACACCAGCTTTATTTATCCCCTCTCTCGCACAATAATAAACACACACTCCCTCTCTCTTTTCTCCCCCTTTTCTCTGCAGCAGCTCTCAGTGACAAATTGATGTTGCGGCACTCCCCCC